TGATTACAATTAGTAGAAATTTTCACAAATTCTTATTGTGAGGGGAATTCAATAAATTTATTTCATAGTTGAAAACTGTTTTCCAAAAGTTTGTACAGAAAATGAATAAAATTATTCTTATTTCATAGTTGAAAACTTCTTTCCAAAAATTTTCAATTACTCAATATAGTATAATTAAAATTTTCCCATCAATAGTTATATTTAAAATAAATATTTAATCATTATTATTTTTCTATAGGAAGTAGTTAAATAAATATTTTTACAGTTCCTCTAACTACTTCAAAATTATTTCCATCATTTAAATTCAATTATTATTTTCTAGAATTTTTAATTAAAATTCTTCTCTAAATCAATTATATTTCATAAGTTTTGAAAAAGTTCTTTGACAATTTTCAAATCCATATTTGTTTTTTTTTAATTTGAAACCTCTTCAAAATTGAATTATTTCTAAAAATTCACTAATGCTTTTATTAATCAATTATTGTATTAAAAATAATTGACATTGTGCGATGAGTTTTATTATTTATGAAAGTATTTGAATTCCTAAAAAAATTGTATTATTTATGAAAATAATTGAATTATTGAGAAGAAATTTATAAAAAATTTGTAAATAATTAAATTCTTGTGAAATTTTCATTTTTTATGAAAATAATTAAATGTTTGCGTAGAATTTCATTAAATTTTTTTTTTAAATAATTAAATTCTATTGGAAAAATTTATTAGAATAGTAGATATTGAAAATCATCGAATTGAGAAAAATTGTTGATAATAGGTACCTAATTGAAATTTTGACAAGAATTTTATTCAAAATTTTTGAAAATAATTTACTTTTAGAGAAGAATTTTATTATTTATAAAGACAATTCAAATTATGATATTTTTTTTAAATTCTTGAACATAATTGAATTTCTGCGAAGAATTTTATTCTTTTGAAAATAATTGAATTTCTGCAATTATTTGTAACTTCTCAAAAATTCAATTTTTTTTAGTGTTTTAAACTAAAATTCTTCTATAAATTCCTTGTTTTTAATAATTAATTAAATATAAATATATATTAAAAAATTTAACTAATTTCAGAAAGAATTTTAATTATTAAAATGTAATTTTAAAGTTCTCTAAAATCTCTAATTAAATTCATTCAAAATTGATGTTTTATAAAATTAACTATTAACTATAATAATTTGAATGTTCTTTTATTCTTTCATTCATTCACTTTTTCTGTCTCTCACACTCTGAAGTTGTCTTTTGTTTATACTTTAGTTTTTTGTTATCTTTAGATAGATTATATATTATATTATTATGTTATAATTATTTTTATTTCATAATTAATTCAAAATTGTAATGACAAATAGAAATCATCAGAATTTTTTTCACTTCTTTTTATTAAAAGACTAACATTTTCTTAAATATTATGTTTTGTCAAATTAAAATTATGCAGATTTTTGTTCTTTACTTCTAAACAAAATTAGAAAATTGTTAAACAACTGTGATTAAGAAATAGCAAATTTATTTATTTTGCATTATTTTTATTTATGAATCAATTTTTTTAACAAAATTATTATTTTGTTTTAGAAAAAAAGGAAAAATATTTTCAAAATTCTTATTTTTAATCTTATATTTGAAACAAGATTTTCTACAGGAATTAAGACATTAAAAAATTTTTAATTCAACCTTTTTGAAATTTATAAAAAATTGTTATAAAACATGAAGATATCGGTTGCTCCGAGTCGAACACTCGGAGTGATCGATTTCTTCATGTTTTCTAATAATTAAAGATGACTGAGAGATAAAATCAAAATTATTTTCATCATTTTAATTCAATTATTATTTTCTAGAATTTCAAATTATTTTTTATGAAAATAGTAATTGAATTCCTTAAAAAATGTTATTATTTTTCAAAATAATTGAATTCCTGTGAAAATTTTATTATTTATGAAAATAATTAAATGTTTGCCTACAATTTTTTAAAATTATTTTTAAATAATTGAATTCTTTTTGGGAAGTTTTATTAAAATATTAGATATTGAAAATCATTGAAATTAGAAAAATTTTTGAAAATAATTGAAATTAGGACAAGAATTTTTTTGAAATTTATGAAGATAATTGAAATTTGGAGAAGAATTTTGTTATTTATAAAGATAATTGAGATTTTTACGAGAATTTTTTTCAAATTTTGAACATATGTAGTTGAATTTTATTTTTTTTGAAAATAATTGAATTTTTGCAATTATTTGTAATTTCTCCAAAATTTAATTTTTTAAGTGTTTGCAACAAAAATTTAAACCTTTTTGAAGTTCATGTATTTATTAAAATTATAATTACGCAACTGTTTTAAAATTCAATTAATTTTGAAATATTTAAGTAAAATTATTAATTAAATAATTTATAAATAATAATTTTATAATAGTTTTTCCAAAATTAAATTATTTAAAAAGAAATTATTGTCAAAAATGGAAAAAATTGAAGGTTTTGTATTAGTATTGGTGGTAATTTCATAGTTTATGTGAGTTTATTTATGAAATATTGTAGACTAATTTAGATTTAGAAAAAAGTGCTTAAGAAATGAATTCTAATATAAATATTGCAATTTAACAATTTTACCTAGATATCAACATTTAAAATTTTCATTCATAAAAAATTATGAATTTAAACAGTTAATAGAATTTTTTCTTCCTTAATATTTCTAGTGAAATTATAATAGAATAGAATAATTAATTTTGGCTCTCCTTTATATTTAGCAACACAGGCACAAAGTGTATTATTAGCGAAACTAAATTTATAAACCGGACCTAAAGGAAGTTATAATTATAAACTGTTTAGATTGTCATTATATTAAAATAATGATCCTCAAAACTACAAACATATATATATATATATGGGCAATTCCACGTGAGATTTCAGTCGACCTCTTAAAATCGGCCAAAAATATTTTTTTTCTATTCTGTATTAAAAAAAAACAGATACGTATTTTTTTATTATTTTTTTGGAGGCCAGATTTTTGAGTTATGAATTTTCAAAATTTTCGTTTTTTAAATGAAGATATATTTTTAATGTCAGATAACTCAAAAAATATTGCTTCTTTTCATTTTTTGACAAGAGAAAAAAAGTTTTGTTTTTCTCTCTACTTTTGAATAATCATAACAAAAATTTTTTTTTTTCATTTTTTATTTAAAAAATAAAAAAATTTTATAAACAAATTAATTTTTTTTAACTTTGGGTATGATAAATTTTTAATTTTCTTTTTTTAAAACATACCTGGAAATGATAAGAAGGTTTTGCAAAAAGTTTCAGAGTGGGCCTGACAAGTTTGATGGGTCCAAAAAAATAATTAAGCTGTCCGTGCAGGTCGCACGCACGCGGCACAATGGGATTTTTTTACAATTTATTATTAAAAATTGTTTAGAGCCTCCAAATTCAATAATAATCAAAATCTGATAAAATTTGTAGGCTCTAAACAATTTTTAATAATAAATTGTAAAAAATTCCCATTGTGCCGCGTGCGTGCGACCTGCACGGACAGCTTAATTATTTTTTTGGACCCATCAAACTTGTCAGGCCCACTCTGAAACTTTTTGCAAAACCTTCTTATCATTTCCAGGTATGTTTTAAAAAAAGAAAATTAAAAATTTATCATACCCAAACTTAAAAAAAATTAATTTGTTTATAAAATTTTTTTATTTTTTTAATAAAAAATGAAAAAAAAAATTTTTTGTTATGATTATTCAAAAGTAGAGAGAAAAACAAAACTTTTTTTTTCTTGTCAAAAAATGAAAAGAAGCAATATTTTTTGAGTTATCTGACATTAAAAATATATCTTCATTTAAAAAACGAAAATTTTGAAAATTCATAACTCAAAAATTTGGCCTCCAAAAAAATAATAAAAAAATACGTATCTGTTTTTTTTCAATACAGAATAGAAAAAAAATATTTTTGGCCGATTTTAAGTGGTCGACTGAAATCTCACGTGGAATTGCCCATATATAGTTTTTTGAAATGAACTGTCAGTATAAATAAATGTTCTGCAAATAAGTTTGTAATTTTCCTGTTATTATAAAGTGACACAAATTCGTTCTGTGGTTTCACCGATTCGGAATTTGCAAATTCCTTGAAATATCACACCCACACGCTCTCATCGGTGTATTCCACCCTTGAAAATCAAGACACTTTCGTTATATACCTTAGGAACACACAACTCTGAGTCATTTGGAAAAGATTTTGAAATTGGATTACAACTGTCTTGGCAACAACAATGCACATATAATGTTTTACTGATTCGAGATAATGACTCTATTGACGTTATACAAAGTTTTTGTCATTAAAAGAGACAAAAATTGGGATTATGATTGTGTGTGTTTGTAGTATTTTTATTTTTAAATATATGGGGAAAAATTTCTCTAATGTACCAAAATCAACCGTAAAAGATATCAAATCAAGATTTGCTAATCGATTTTTAAATCAATTAAAAAAGTCATTCGAAAACTTTTTGAAAATAAAATATTTTTAGTTCTTTTTAATAAAGGACCCTTTTTTAGTCTTGAAATAAAGTTTAAGATGTGCACTTTTAATAGATAAAAATAAAAAATAAATGAAAAAATAATCTCACTTTTCTAGACATTAATTATTTGATTAATAAAAATTAATAAAAAAATTAATTTATAAAGAAATAAAATGACGATAACTTTGAAATAACCATTTTGAAGCTTTTTAAATGCTGAATGTAACAAGTTCAATATGAAATATTTTTGATTAATTTTTCCTAATTTATTAATAAATTCTCATTTATTTAATAATAAATATCCCAGAAAACAAAAACATCTCATTTTTTCTTTTCTTTTTATTCATTAATTAAAAATTAATTTTGTTTTCCCAGGCAAAAAATGGTGTTCATTTAATTTATGAATAATTCCAGTAAAAATAAAGAAAGAAATATTAAAAAGAACTAATTTCGGTAATAAAGTCGATACAGTTAATATAGAGTAGAAATAAATTATTGTTCATTAGGTACGTATCAAGGTCAGTGGGTGAAAGGGACACGTCATGGATATGGGGTAAGGGCGAGTGCACCCTTTGGTTTGGCAAGTCATTACAAGCCAACGAAGCAAATTAGGGCATCCTTAACTTCCTTAAGGAGTGCAGAAGGAGGACCACCGGCAGCAGCGCCAACGCCAGATCCAATGGACAAAAGAGACAAAAGGGTTGATGATAGTAGGGGTGGATTTGTCCTGAAGGCCAGAAGCGATGATCCACCGGCAAGGCGGAAGAGCTTAACAGAGAAATCCCTCAAGAAAGGCATCCTCTCGGTAAAGTAATTTTCTTTTCATTTATATTACTCTCTCACAATGCCATCCATATCTTTTCTTTTCTATTTCTTTCTTATTTTTTCTTTTTTTTGACCTATAAAACTCCAAAGCTTCATCATTTTCAAAGGAATATAAATTTTATAGTTTATACAGTCACTTTACACAATCATCTACTTTATGCCGTATACACATAACAATAGATCTGAATCTTTTAATTTTTCTACAATGAAAAGTTTGGGACTTAGTCCTAAACTATATATGACTGTATTTGAGGGTTCCGATCAATGTTCATTAATGTTTTAAGACAAAATTCTCCCCTCCTAAATTTAAAAAAACATTCGAAATTTCAATTTCTCTTTAGAATTTAATTTCGACTTAAATATAATTATAGTTAAAGAAAACTTATTCAAGTTAAATTAATTAAAAAAATATTTTTAAATTAAAATTAATTTTATAAAGTTAACAGTTAAATTATTTATTTTGTATTTGCATACGAAGATTTTTAGCTCAGAAATATTATAACCGGTTCTTTGATCGGGACCCTCATTTGTTTTAAAAATAAATCTTGGCTACTATTTAAGAATATAAACTTCTTCATTTAATTCAACAATTAAAATTTTTATAGTTTTAGGGCCAGTTTCACCAACTCCGATTAAAAATTAATCAATCTTTAAAGTCAGTTTAACCGTCCATGATTGGTCGGTTAAGGACATACAAAATGATACTGACTGCAATAATTTTTGTTCGAAAATTGTCTCCTATCTTTTTTGTTTTTTTTTTGTCTCTTTCCTTTCTATTGTGGTCCCTTCATTGTTTCTGAAATTTCTCCCTTTAATTGTTTTCACAATATAAATTTTATTACCTTATTTCAAGAATTGCTCAAATCTTTGTTTATAAAAAACTTATTAGTTCCAAATTTTGATTTCCTGCTGGAAGCCTACACTGATTAGACTTTATCTCTTCTTTAAAGGCAGAATGCACAAACAATTGAGTCTTTATGAAATTATCATGAATTCACATGCAGTTTATAGCGTTTGATGTACAATTTAAATAAATCCGAAGTAAATGAAACATTTATTTATTTATAAAAATTCAGTAACAGTAACCCATTTAAGGTTGACACAAAAAATTAATTCTGTCTTTTCTTAATTTTTCCCTGATTTCCCTGGAATTTTGATTTTTGTTCTGACCCTAAAAGATTTCCTGATCTCTAAAAATTTCCTGATTTCCTGAACTCTAAAAATGATTAGATACTAAAAAAAATGTTCTAATACATTTATTTGAGAATATTTTTAATTGTGAAATTATTCAAAAACATCAATAGTTTTATTTCAGATAATTATTTAATCATTAATATTCTTCCTTACAAATTAAGATTTTTAAAAATTTCGAATTTAAACCTTTTTAAATTCAATTGAAATTGTATTAAAAATAATTGAACTTCTACGATGAGTTTTATTTATAAAAATAATAAATGAGTTATTGCAAAAAATTTTTTAATAATTAATTTCTTTCTGATTTATGCAAATTTTACTTTAAATAATTAAACTTTTGTGAAATTTTTATTATTTATGAAAATAATAGAATGCTTGCGAAGAATTTTATAAAATTTTTTTTTAAATTAAAATCTTTTGGGAAATTTTATTAAAATAGTAGATATTGAAAATCATAAAATGAAATTTTAACAAGAATTTTATTAAAATTTTTGAAAATAATTGAATTTCTGGAAAGAATTTTATTATTTTTGAAAATAATTGAATTCTTGTAATGAATATTGTTATTTAAGAAAATAATTGAATTTATATAATAAATATAATAGAATATATATATATATATATTTTATTTATATTTATCAAAATAATTGAATTTCTTTTGAAGAATTGCGTTAAAAGTTTTGAAATAATATCAAATATTTATTAAAAGATTCAACTAATTTCAACTGAATTGAAATTAAAATTTAAAAAAAATTAGTTCTACAGAATTATTAAATACGAAAAATTCAGATTTTCCAAAGATTTAAATTTGAAACGTTTTCAAAATTCAATTATCTTATTTACGCGTTTTCAACTAAAATTCATTTCTAAAACAATTATTTTTAATAATAAAATATAGAATAGAAAATTCAACTAATTTCAAAATAATTTCAATTAAAATTTTTCAAAAAACTGAGTTTTTGAAATTTTCTACATAAGTTCATTCGAAACTAAATTTTTCTAAAATGGCAATTTGAAACCTTTTAAGTTTCAATTATTTATAAAAAATGTAATAATTTTTTGAAAGTTCTGTAACAATTAAATTACTTAAAATAAATTACTTAAAATAAATTATTGTCCATAATAAATTATTGTCCATTATTTTCCAGACAAATTCTATTTTTCCTAACTTTTTCCTGAATTCCCTGATTCCCCTGATCTGTGGGAACCCTGGTCATTAATTTTAAGTTGAACAAAAATTTAAAATATCCTCTTTTTTAATCTATCTTCTACAATTATTGTAAAGAAAATAAATACCTATCAAATTTTTTATTTCAATGATTAACGGATTTTAGTGGAGGGTATATCTGTATTTTTAATTTTATCAAGAACATAATTTAAATATTCAATAAAATAATTTTTAAAGTAATTTTTTTCAAGGAATTCAATGGTCATAAAAGAAAATCGGTCAGAAAATAATTTGAATCCTTTAAAATTTTAATGTTTCTTAAAAATTGACAGATTTTGAAATCCATCCGTAATTTTGTAGAAAATATATGTTTTTGAATGCATAAAAAATTGCCAAATGAAAAAATTGATTTTTACAATTTTTAAAGCATGTTTTTAAAAATAAAACTCTGTTTTTAGGCTAATAATGCAAAAAATACTAGTATTATTCAATTATTTTATTTGAAATTTCTTTTTTTTCTAACTAATTTCAGATCATAATTTTATCATAATTTTTGTGTATTTATTATTTTTAATACCTACATAAAAATTCTGATTTAAAATTAATTTGAAAAATAAACAAACGAATTTTCAAATAAAAAAATTGAATAATAATGGCATTTTTTACCAATTTCAGCCAAAAATTGTAAAAATCAATTTTTTCATTTGGCAATTTTTTTTGTTTATTCAAAAACATAATATTTTCTACAAAATTACAGATGGATTTTAAAATCTACCAATTTTTAAAAAAAGTAAAAATTCAAAAAGTGTCAAAATAATTTCAGACCGATTTTGTTTTATGGCCATTGAATTCCTCTGGAAATATTACCACAATATAATTAAAAATAATGGTGTACTCTCCCCTTCAAGAAGTATTTTGGAAAAAAATATCTTTTATTGTCACAGGACTGGAAAAGAATCTAAATAATAGCAAACCGTAAAAAAAGTACTGAATAGTAGCTTTTAGTAGATGAGTGCAAAATCTGCTAACTGTAAAAATGAATTAAATGAGGAATATTCTTAAAATAGAGGCCAAGATGTATCCTTAAATTTAGAATATAAAATTTTTTCGCACTTTACAATTTGTAGTGGAAAATAAAATGATAAATTCGAAATAAATCGATTTTGAAGAAATATATCGAATATGGTGCTGATCGAGAAAGAAAAAAATAATCGTGATCATCAGTGTATTTTTGTAAATGTTGTAGGGGCTGAAGATAAGAAAGCAAAGGAGCACGGGTGACCTTGAGAAGCGCGGTACGGGTGGCAGCATCAGAAGCAACGCAAGCACAGCTTCCTGGATGTCGACTGAGAGTTCTCAAAGTCAGGCTTCCGCTTCGGTTCACACCGATAGTAACACGTCCTTCGTTATCGAGGTATGCAAACACAAAAAAAACCCTCTCCGATCCTTGAGAAAAATAAATTCTGCGAGAATTGATTCGTTAGAAGAAAAAGAAAAAATTCAAACTTTCACACTTTTACCTAAATTAGTTAAAATTCTCTTCCTTCTCTTGTATGTTAAAATCTTTTTATAAATAAAAAAAAGAATCTTTTTCCAAATAAAAATCTTTTTCCAAATAAATGTAAAAATCTTTTCCTAAATAAATATAAAAATCTTCTTCCAAATAAATGTAAAAATCGTTTACTAAATAAAAAAATCTGCATTTAAACTCTCACACATTTCAGAAATTACAAAAAAAAAGTTTCTGAAAAATAAACGAAACTATAAACCACTACCTAGAAAATCATTATTAGAGTGATGAATTATTTGTAAACATGTCAGTGTAAAACTGAACTTGCGAAGGAAATGTTAAAAGTGCAGCTATCGACGGTATGCATTCCGCTTTTGGCGTTTACGTCTCACTCATTCGTTGGCGAGTGAAAAGATAAAAGAGTAAAATCCCTCTCTTTTCAGAACTTGTTTGCTATTTCAAGTATTCTTTTTTTTCTCAAACGAGAGAAAAAAGGAAGAAAAAAAGAAGAACAAGAAGAATCCTTTGTTAAATTCAGTATCTTGCTTCTATGAATAATAAATACAAGGTGTATAAAAGGGCCAAATGATACAAGTAGTGTCTTCTTATCTCGCCAAACAAGATAAGATAATACATTTTTTATTCGCAGATTCAAAAAAAAAAAAAGATTTTTTACTCCACTAGATAAACCTTTATTTTTCACTATTGATAAGATATGGAAGTTTTTAACAGTATTTAAAAGAAAAAATCAAAAGGAACAAAAATTATATAATTTAAGGACGACTAGTATTGAAAGAAATAGAGCAAAAAGAAAAATCAATTAACATTTAAAAAATCAAAAGTTTATTATTTATTGTATTTTCTGGAAGAAGAAACATCAATTTTTAATAGTGATGCATGTCGAGCAAATAGATGCGCGTCATTTGTTCTTCCGCTTCATAACAGATCCAGTCAAAAAAATTCTATACAATTATATACTAAGGGAATGATTCTATTCAAAATCTATAATGAGCATCCTGTAATATTTCACTATAGAACAATTCAATAGAATTTCTATGTACATTAATTCTAGTAAATATTAGATCATATATAAATTTACACAATTATTATATTACAGATATTAATTAATTACATATTATTAATATAAATGAGTTATTAATTAAATTTTCCTTTTTTTGAATTTTGCGCCAATACAGTTCATTAAATTGCAGCTTAGATATAATGAAAATTCGCTCACAAACTCAATGAAGCGAATAAAGTATGGTTGTGATATAAAATTGGTTCGTTTTAGTTATATAAAATGAATAATATTATAAATTACAATCATAAATAAATTATAAAAAATTCTTACTAATGTGTTAAATTAGAGGATTCAAACAAAAATCTTTTTAAATAAAACTTATTTCAAAAATTAAAATTTAATTATTTCTGAAAATTATAACTGTAATTCTTCTAAAATTAAATTATTTTCTAGCAATTTTAACTAAATTTGTTTAAAAGTTTAATAATTTTTTAAAATAAGTATTTAAATATTATATTATTTAAAATCATTTGGAAATTTAATTTTTTCTAAAAATTTTAACTGTCATTTCTATAAAATTCAATTATTTTTTATATTTTTAATTAAAATTTTTCTCTTAGTCAATTATTTTCAATAATTTTGAAAATGTTTGTTGAGTGTTTAATTATTTAAAAAAATAAAAAATTCATTTTAAATTCGATTAAAATTCAATTGTTTTCAATTCAATAGAGTAGGGTGGTTCAAAAAAGCCACGTTTTTACTTTTAACTCTATAAAATCTGAATTTAAAATTTTTTTCTCTTTCCATTTGGAACTGAAAGTTTAGTTAACATCTAAAATTTTAACTGAAATTAGGTAATTTTTAAATCGCTTTTTATTAGAAAATTCTTCGAGAATTCAATTACTTAAATATAAAAATAAATAATATATTGAATAATTAAAAATTTTTTAAAATTTGAAGTCTCATAAAGAATTTTAGCAACAAATTTTTAAATAATTGAATTCTTTGAAATTCTACAATCAGTTTTATTATTTATGAAAATAATTGAATTATTGCAGAAAAATTTATAAAAAATTTATAAATAATTGAATTCTTGTGAAATTTTTATTATTCATGAACAAAATTTAAGTAAAATTATTCATTGAATGAATAATTTATAAGTAATAATTTTATTATAGATCTTCAAGAATTTAATTCTTTAAAAAGAAATTATTGTCAGAAATAGAAACAATTTTAGGTTTTATATTAGAATTCGTGGTAATTTCATAGTTTATGAGACAAACTAAAAATCTCTGACTTTTCCCTGAATTCCTTGACCTGTGGCATCCCTGTATTAGTAGTAATTTCTTAATTACTTTACTTAAATTAAAAAATAATTTTCCTAAAGATCTGCATTCTTCTGGATGAACCACTTTAAAAGGAAAATTTTTCACAATTTAAGAAAGAAAAAATAATGTTTCAGGATGAGCAAATGGACGCCTCCGTTACGGAAACATACCTCGGCGAATGGAAGAACGATAAAAGAACCGGATTTGGAATATCCGAAAGAAGCGATGGCCTCCGTTACGAGGGTGAATGGTTCAATAATCGTAAATACGGTTACGGTGTGACGACATTTCGCGACGGCAGTAAAGAAGAGGGAAAATATAAAAATAACGTTCTAATAACAAGTCAAAAAAAGAAGCACATGTTCCTAATAAGATCAGCAAAATTTCGCGAAAGAATAGAAGCAGCAGTTAATGCCGCTCAAAGAGCAAGTAAAATAGCACTGCAAAAAGCCGATATTGCAATATCGCGAACAGCAACATCACGCGGTAAAGCTGAACTCGCCGATATTGCCGCTGAACATGCGCGCGAAGATTCCGAATTGGCTCAACAAACAGCGCGACAATTTGCTCCCGATTTCCGACAACCGGGACTTGAGAGACTGAAGAATCGCGAAATTCCACGATACGTGCCTCCACCTCAAGACAGTGTTCCCGGTAAAAGTATTCTCCACAAAGCGGCAAGTGTCGATCAGCCGAATTACAATCCAAACAAGACTGCATTGTCTGAGGAGAATAATTCATCGACATCACCAAATCCCGGTCCAAGTCACATTAACCAAACGATAAGAAGGGCAAGTATGAAGCCAGCCCAAAATCAAATTCCACAACAGAACCAAGTGCAAAGCCAGATGCTCAATCAAATATCTAACCAAATTCCAAATCAATTGACTAATCAAGTTTCAAATCAGATATCGAGTATGCAGTACGCAAATAATCCCCAGACATCATCCTTATCGAGTTCGAGTCCTTATTCGCAGATGAACAATCAATTTAATCAATCGCAGTTAACGAATAGTATACCGAATCAATTTCAACAACAGAATACGCAACAATATTCATCGAATCAGTATATGCAAACGACGGCGACGGCGACGACGACTCAGGGTCAGTTTCATGGTCAGGGTAATCAATATGGACAATCGCAGTATCAAAAATCCAATCAGCAGGAGCTGTATAACAATTATCCGCCCACGACGACAACGACCCAGGGATTTCCGAATCAGTATCAACAAGGTTATGCTGGCCAACAGGTGAGAATCAAATTTAAATTAATTCAAGTAATGAATTTGCAGTTTTATATTTATTTTTTATTTCAATATTTACTTAAAGCATGATAGCGAAGAAGCAGACTTTTGTTATGGCATCTAATTTTTAGGTATTTTATGGTATTGCTAAATGTAGCAAGAGTTACAATTTCAATACTCAAAAATTAGATTACTGTTATCTATTTTTTTCTATTCTATTTATTTTCTAAGAAAATATAACTCATATTTTCTGGAACATCTGTTGGCTAATTATTTTAGAATTTTAGCAATAACTATGTTACTAGAACCTTCTAGCAGAATAGAACTAGAACGAGTTATTGAACTAGAACAACAGATAGCTATAGAATAAAAACTAGTTCTAGAGTGATATGTAATTCTAGAATAAAAACAAATTGAAGAACTAGTACTAATTCTAGAACTAGTTTTAGAATTAGGACAACATCTAGTTCTAGAACTGACACTAATTCCAGAACTACAACTAATTCTAAAACTAGTACTTATTCCAGAACTTCGTTCTACTGCTACAATTTGTATTAGTTCTAAAACTTGTTGTTACTTTACGTCTACAATGATTTCTAGTTCTATAATTAGTTGTTATTCTTTCAATTATTCAATTTGAACTGGTTTTAGAACTATTTATTGTCTCATTACTATAGAATTAGTTCTAGTTCTAGAATTAGTACTAGTCCTACACTTGGTTGTTGTATGCTCTAACATTAGTTCTAATTCTAGAACTAGTCCTACTTCTACAATTGTTTGTTGTAGTTCTAGTTCCAGAATTAGTACAAACTTTAGAGCTATAACTATATCAACGACTAATTGTAGAACTAGAACTAGAACTAATTTTAGAATTAAAACAAAAAGTTCTATATCTAATACAAATTGCAGAACTAAAACAACAACAAGTAATTCTGAAATTATCACTAATACTAGAACTAGAACTGAATTCAGAATTAAAACAGTTAGTTCTAGAACTAGAACTAATCTTCACAATAAAACAGCAAAAAGTTCTGGAACTTGTACAAAATGTAGAACTAGAACAACAACAACTAATTCTAGAACTAATACCAAGTCAATAACTAGAAATAGTTTTAGAACTACGACATATTATAGAACTAGTGCTTATTCCAGAACTTTCTTGCTTTAGTTCTATAATTTGTTCTAGAACTAGCTATTGCCTTAATTCTAAAATTAGTTCTAGTACTAGAATTAGCAGTAGTTCTAGAACTAGTATCAATATAGAACTATAGTTCTGGAACTTGAAATACTTTCAAAATTCGAAATAGAACTAGAACTATAACTAGTTTTATAATTAGACCTACAATTAGTGCTAGAACTATAACTAATTTTTAAATAATAATAGAATTATTGTTAGAACTAAAAGCATTTTTACAATTAAAACTACAATTATTACAAAAACTGAAACTGTTTTTCGAATTAGAACTAAAATTTTTTTAGAATTAGAACTAGTTTTAGAATTAGATCTGGAACTACTGACAGAACTACATCTAGAGAAAAAGTTGTATTTGTCACACAGCCAAATAGAAATTTATTTGTTACCAATAAATTTTATTTGGTTCAAATAAAAATTCTACTTCCGATAAAAACAAATTTTTTGTGTCAAATAAAATTCTTGATTGAAACAAATAAAAAGGTCAATAAGATATAAGACAAATATTCATTTCTTTTGACATAAATATATATTATATTTGGTTCAAATAAAACATTTCTCAAGGTGTCCAATTAGTTTTCAAATTAGAACTACTATAACTATAATTAGTGCTAAAAATAAAAGTTCTTTCAAAATTAGAACTAAAAATTATCTAAAATTAGAACTAGAGCTAGTGGTAGGACAAGTTTTTGAATTAGAACTGGAAATAGTGCCAGAACCATGACTTGTTTTAAAATTAGAACTAGAACTAGTGCTAGAACTAGTTTTAACATTAGAACTACATTTAGTGCTAAAACTAAGAGTATTTTTAAATATGAATTCATTTAGCATTACAACTATAACAGATGCTATAATTAATTTTTGAATTTAAAATGGAACTAAGGCTAGACTTGCAAATATTTTTTTTAAATTATAACTAGAACTAGTGCTAGAACTATTTTCAGTGCTGAAACTTACTCTAGAACTTGAACTAGTTCTAAAAGTAGAATTGACTCTAGAACTAGATTTAATTCTAGTACTAGAATTCGTAGTTCAAGGAATTTTAGAAAGTGTTATACAAACATTGTTCTTTAATGATACTTTTTCTATGATGGAACAAATAAAAATTTGTTAACTTTAAAACTACAGTTGTTACAGAATTGGTAGTGTTTTTTCTACGGTTTTTTTTCAGGAAAACAATATTTTTATGCAAAAAATTTTAAATCAAAAGCTTAAATGTTTATAATGTGTTCTTTTCGTTCTAGAACAATTTCAAAACATTTCAAAACATTTCGCACACTGGTTTTAGGTCACTACATTTAAATATTCTCCACCAATTTTTCTTATTAGATTTGGAAAATTCAAGATGTTGGTTACAATATGGTTTAATAAACTTTTTAAAATTTGCCAAAATGTACTAAAAACTGTCTTAAAACATTATTAATTATTATATTATTATTTATTATAGTTACTTAAAAACTACTGAAAACATTAAATAAGTAAAGGAAAAAGAAAATAATTCTAGAAATAAAAAATCGTGTCTCTACTAGTATTATCAACATTTTAACTACAAGTTTACATTATCAAATTCCACTAACAGTAATCTGTTTATATTTGCATTAAAATAATATCATCCCAATGTTGTTTCTAATCATCCCACGATTAATCTCTAATTGAAAATAACCTTAAAGCATAAGTACATTTCCTGAATTTATTAAATACTTTAGAATAAAAATAATAATTTAAATAAAATATTTATCTTCGGTATAAATCATCCAAGCTGTTTGCATATTGCTATTATAATCTCGCACAACACATATTTATAAGCATATATAGTTATGCTTTTCACGTACAATAAATGTACGGCTTATTCATAAATAAAGCACACTTCCCATTCCTAATACTATTCTATATACATACATGTTTGTGCTATGAATTATCGCATGTCAAATAATATTAAAAAACGTTACTTTATAATCAACCACGAATATATATGAATCATATTTCAAGTTTGCATGTTAATCGAGATTGAAAGAAAGGTATCAGAGCTTTTTTAGAAAAAAAATAATTTTTTATCATGTGCAAAATTTTTATAAATTAATCTTCTTTGGCTCGTGTATATATAGGGTATTTTATAAATCCCACTTGATCAAAATGTATCAATTAAATTAAATTTCTAATAATTAAAATATTTATTTAACTTTTTAAATATTTATTTAGGTAATATAAATCCATTCGTATAGAATACTAAAAAAATAACTAAAAAAATAAGAATATCAAGAATTATCTGGTAGTATAAATAATTATTATTACTTTCAAAATTCGATTCAAATTTGAAAGCAAATATTTTATGTTATGTTTTTTAAAGTTTTGATTCTTCATAACATTTTCTAATACAAGTTTGAAAATAAACAGTTAATTTCATTTGGAAAAAAATAAAATTTTACTTATCCATAATTTAAATTAGAACAAGATTTAAAATAATGGTACTATAAAATTATAATTGTTTGCTTTGATTAAAAAATTGGTGAATATTGATTTGAAATAATAATTCGCACAAACTTTCATTGACGGAAATTGATTTCTATAAAAATTTGGTGTGATTTTTGTTGCGTGTAAAATTAGCCAATAGAACGTGGAGCCACCTTCGTGGGTAAAATTTGTTCTGAATTATTATTTTAACACCAAATTCGGTAATAAAATAACACTTTTTATGTTATGTGTGCCATAAATATTAAAATTGAGAGTTTGTTAAATTTCTGCCTTGTTAAAAGCTGTTTTCTTTATTATTTATACAATTTAATTATTTTTATTAATTTTAGTAGATAATTTATAATTATTAATATTAATATTATTATTATTTTTAAAAATATTTTTAATTAATAATCAAATAATATAATAAAAAATAATTTAAAACCTCTATACATGAAACTGATTTTCCTAGTATAAAAAAAGTACAAAAGATCCAAGAAAACTTTCTGTTTAAATAAAATTTAAACACGCTGAACTTTCATTTTATAGATAATGCTTCCAATATCTCCAGTCATGTACAGTCCCATGACTCAGCCACAAATGAATCAATTCGGATCACAACTTTATGGTGTAAGCGACTTGAGGTTTACAAAAATTGCTAGAAAGAACCCTTTACAATACTAAATCTCTTCTCCGATATTAATTCAAAAAAAAGAAAAAAATTTAATTTTAAAAAGTTATATTAACTCGTTGGAATTATTTTTATTAATTCATCAAATTGTTTCCTTGATTCCAAATGTGAAATTTAGTTTACTTTTATTTGAATCAAAAGAATATTTCTCTAAAACAATAGAAAATTTATTTTAAAAAAATAATTTTTTATTCTAGTTAAATTTGTCTCTAATTTTCATTTGTGTAAATTAAAAAAAATGGTAACTTAGAAGACGCATATCATTCGAAAATTGTTTCTTCAGAAACTAAATTTCTCAAAAATTGATGGTGAGTCATTTATTATTAATTATTCGTTCAGGATCATTTTTGTTTTAAAGAAAAAATCTTTTGACTCAAAGAAACTAATTCCTTGAAGTCAACATTATGGGGTGATATGTTTTAAAATGAAAACCCTTCTTTTCGAGTGTTTCGTCTGCGTTTTGTTTTAGTAATTAGAACGAAAATTAATTCACGACCCCTATCTCCTGAATTAATATATACGACTGGATTCAAAGAAACCTTATATTATATTTTTTTCAAAATTTTATTATTTTTCAAACCTAACAATAGATTTTATATAAGACTCCTTGTACTACTTATGAACCACCTGACTATTCGTTTCTTTTCCCTAATAGTAAAAAAAGAAACCTACGCATTCCAGTTCATTTCTTTTATTTCTCATTGTAAATGAATCCAACTTATGTATTTTAAAATTGGAGCATGATTCCTATGCTGTACGACAGTAATTTAAAAAGATAAGCTTAACCACTGAATTATTTCTATAAACAATAATTTAGAAATAAACTGACAACAAAATTGCAGTTTTCTTAAAAGATCGTAAAAAATAAATACTGTGTTGATGATTGTACATTAATTTAGACAAATTATTTTGCAGACAATACCAAATCAGTATGGTGCTGGCCAAATGAATCAGTACAATACACAACAGCTATATGGTCAACAACAGCAACAACAACAGTATCAATCTGATAGCATGCCGGATGGACAGAGGCCATCGAGTGCAACTAGTATACGAAGAAATAGCAGAATTTTAAGTCCTCAGGACAGACCAAACATTGGTGGTGTAAATCAAACGCTTAACGACAGGTAAATTATTATTATTATTATTATTATTATTATTATTATTATTATTATTATTATTATTATTATTATTATTATTATTATTATTATTATTATTATTATTATTATATATTGTATTATTAGTATGAAGATAATACCCGGTAAAAACGAGTGTATTGAAATCGATTGATGATTGATGATTACAAGTATAGCTGAATTCTTGAAATCATTTTAATCCAAACGAATGACATTTTTGTCCATCAATAAATTTATTCCAATCTCAGTAATCTATTTGAACACACTTAAATTCAGTTGAATTCCTGTTAACATTTCAAATCTGTTAAAATGCCGAAAAATTATATCAATTTAATCCAGTTTAATGCTTTCTGAAAATTTTAAAAAGTGAAATCATTTGAATTCTTTCTTGAACATAAACATTGTTAACATTTTAATTTTTTTGGATTGAAATGGATTAAACTGATTACAAATATGCTATGAATTCTCAATCATTTTAATCCAAACCAATGTCGTTTTCGTCCTTTTTGTGATATCATTTTAATTCATTTTAATACACACCTTCTTACCGGGTAGTTAGTTATTTAGAAGTTTTAATAGGTTATAACATTAAGAAACTAATTTTAAAATAAGTAATTGAAAAAAACCATCAATTGGAGATATTTTGTCCACGTGAGGTTTTTAATGAATAAAATCTTTAAAACTAATTATTTTAATTTGCTATTTTTATAATTTCTACTAAAAAAATTTTATCAGTTATTTTTTTAATGTACTCTAGAATCTCTAAAAAAAGATTTAATAAAACAAAAACGACCAAAAATTTTTTTTACATCGGCCAAATCATAAGACACCTTTAGATGAATCTCCACAAGATATATCAATAGTCGATTTTATTTTTTTTTTCAATTCTGAATTTTAATAAATCGTTAAGTCAAATAATAGATATTTGGTGCACAAAATAGCTAGCTCCGGTTGACGGTAGTCAAAATCAAAATTTCCACCAAGATTTTTTTAAAGTCTAAAATGTTATTTATTTTAAAACTACAAAAGTATAATTTTGCTTTAACTGTCCGTCAGATTCATTCTGAAATAGAATTAAAAAAGAAAATTCTGTAACAAAAAAAACCATGAAAACTAAATATATACTTTTCTTTGAACCCACATTTTTATAATTATCTGTATCAGAAATATTCTTTTTTGTACCAACAGTCCCAAGTATCAATTATCTCAAGACTCCCCCACCTACACTCTAAATTTAAGTTTAGTATTGTATTACTTTATGTATATATGTAGTTTTAAAAAATAGTTTCATATGGTTTTCTCTGCTGTCTGACGATAGTTTATTTCTGCTACTGACACAAAATTTTAGAAAATTTCTAATTCAATGAAAACCTTAATCATTGACAAAAAATTTACAAAAAAATTAGATCAGTATGGTCTTTCTGTAACTGTCTGATACTACTTATGTATACAAAAATTACAAAGCTTTTGAGGTCTGTCTGAAAATGACACTTACTACTGCCCACACAGCACATGATATTTTCTAAATATTTCCTGAATATTTCACTGAAAGATTGAAATATTTCAGTGCAAGGTTCTTGAAATATTGCTGCAAATTAAAAATGTCCGCCTATATGAAATATTGACGCGAAAGTTTAGAAAATATTTCATTGAAATATTTTGGAAATTTTCAACTTAAATTATGCGCACTGGTCGAACTCAGTTTCTATGGCCTGTAGAGCTGCGCAGTAGTTTTTGGCTTACTATATCCTATGGGTTTTTAAATATTTCAGAAAATTCCTATTGGTTTCAGGTGTTTAACAAATTTTTTAATTTTGTGAAATATTTTCAGAATATTGCAGAATCGTCATGTGTAATATTGCAGGAATATTTCAATGAAATATTTTCTAAACTTTCGCATCAATATTTCACATAGGCGGACATTTTCAATTTGCAGCAATATTTCAAGAATCTTGCACTGAAATATTTCAATCTTTCAGTGAAATATTCAGGAAATATTTAGAAAATATCATGTGCTGTGTGGGTGATAACAAATAAAGAAGAATTCGGCAAATGTTTGTCCTTCCGAAACTATTTTTTTCAATACTGATTAAAATAATTATAAAAGGATTGACAATGTCTGGCTGTGACTGGTAATTACTACTACACTGTAAAAACAGTGTCTCAATGTAAGACGTTTCTGTCCCCACTTTTGAAACATTTGAGGTGTTTTACCTTAATAATTTTGAGATAAAACACCTCAAATGTTTTAACCCTTGGGCGGGCAAGCGGGGTCCACTGGACCCCGCGAGTATATATTTTTCAAATTTTTCCGAATCCGTATGAAGGAATGAGTTTATCCTAGAAATTCTGTTAAATATACTAAAAATACATCCAAATACTTTTACAGTTTTCATATTCCAATAATTGTACATTATGCTACATGGATGTTTAAACTTTTTACCGGCACGAACGGGCAAGCGGGGTCCAGTGGACCCCGCATTGTCATAAGCATAAAAAAATTGCAATAACGTACACGGTAAAAAATATACTATGTGGACTACAGTACCACTTAGTGGAATAGACCAAATTTACAAATTGTGATATTAACAAATAACAAAATAGTGTTTTTATTTTAAAAAATTTGAGCCTACACCAAAAAATTCTGCCTTGCACTAAGAACGGTGTGTGTTGTTTTTCCCAGGGTATTTTAAAAATCTATCTGTTTGTTAAAATTAAAATCTTAATCATTATTTTTATATTTTAATGCATTTAAATTCATAATATAATAAAAAGAAAACAAAATATACAAATATCTATGTTTTAAAGAGTTATACCTTTTTGGAGGCTTAAAAAAAGAGTGTTTTTCAAAAATTTTTATGAGTACAGTTTTAAATTATTGTTGGCAACATCGGCTTTTAAAATAAAAAAAATGTTTTTTATAAACTACATAAGATTATCTAGTGAAAATTTTAATTATGTGTACATGATTATAATTTTAGAATTTTTTTGGAAGAATTGTGAGACTTGCAAAAAAATCGCATTTTTCACCCAAAAAAATCGACTTTAATTCTTCATAAAAAAATCCTGTTTATCAATTTTAAAAATCGTGTGTACTTCACTAAATAATCTATCTAAGTAGCTAAAGTATAATTTTCAGGCCAATCGGATGAAAATTTTTCGAGTTCTACTGCTCGCCGATTTGCAAAACATGATTAATACTCGTTTGAAGTTTAAATGTTCTATTTTGACACTCCGGAATTGATCCAAAAAAATTAAATTTAAGAAAAAATTCAAATTGTTTTCATGCAAGGACGTTTTTGATTATCAATCTAGGAATATCATAGTATGTTTTAAGCCAATAAAAAAAACATTGTTTTAAAAAAAATGCATTTGAAATTAAAATTTTCTATTTTTACAATTTAGAATTTCTCCAGAGAACATAATTTTAAAGACATTTCCAAGTTGTTTTCATGCAAAGACTTAATAGATTATTAATCTAAGGATGTTACAGTATATTTTAAGCCAATAAAGAAAAAATCGACAAACAAAAAATGCCAAACAGGTATAACCCTGTAAGCGTTTTTGAAGCGGGGTCCAATGGACCCCGCTTGCCCGCTTACGTACTTTTTTTAGCTTGCCCGCCCAAGGGTTAAAAGTGGGGACAAAACGTCTTACATTGAGACACTTGTTTTTACAGTGTAATCAAATCAATTTCACTCTCTAAATTTGAATCAGTAAAAAAGTCCACTAACTTGAATTAGTGACTGACATTTTGCATTTGAATTAGTAAATTTAACTAATAAATTAGTAGAAATTACTATTTATTAGGAAACTTTTTGTTTTTGAATTAGTAACTTTTACTAATAAATTAGCAGAACATTTGTACTGATTCAAATTTAGAGAGTAGGAACTAAAAATGTTTAATTCACAAATATTTACTACTACACTGTAGAAGGAAAAGTACTAATTTAGTCCCAATTTTAGATCTATCGGTATACTGCTGATGACAAAATCAGAAGAAAATGACAAATATTTGTCCTGCTAAAGATGCCTTATACTACTAAATAAAAAAATATATAAATTGAAAATGTCTTATTGAAACTGGAATTTACTACTAATATTTCACGAAAAAAGAATATGGAAGTTGCCTTTTACTATAACTAATATGAAAAAGTCAAAAAAATTCAACATAAAGTTGTCTTACCAAGAGTGTCATTTACCACTGATGACAAAAATTATAGAAAGTAAATATATTGTCTGATTGGAACTGTTTATTAACACTAGAATCAAATTTAACAAGAATTTAGATGTTGACTTTTACTCCCGATAGCAAAATTAGAAGAATTCGACAAATATTTAACTTACCTAAGTCGTCTTCTACCGTACCACTGATGTAAATAATTTTAATTTTTTAATTTTAATTTTTTAATTTTAATTTTAAAAATTTAAATAATTTAAATAAAGTATAGTAACCAGCCACGTCTGACTAATGTTAGTATTCATTACTAAAAGAGAAAAGTATTTTGATTTTGCCTTTACTACTGATGCCAAAATGAAAAGAATTTGACAAATATTTGTCTGATAAAACTCCCTTTTATCACTAATTTAAAACATTATAGAAATTTAATGTGTTTGACTAAAACTGGTCTTTACCACTCATCAAATGCAAAGAGAATTTAGAAGTTGTCATTTTTGTCTGCAACAATCTGCTACTACTAATTTAAAATTCACATGCCATTCAAAGTCTGACCAAAAATTTCATTTACTACTAATATTAAATGTAACGAGAATTTAGAAGTTAATTTTTACTCTTGATACAAAAATCAAAAGAATTCAGTAAATATTTGTCTTACCAAAACTGTCTTTTACCACTGATATAAAACAATCTATAGGAACTATGTCTACACTGCAAAAACAAGTGTCTCATTTTGAGACGTTTTGTCCCATATTTGAAACACATAAGATGTCTTAGTCCACATATTTGAAACAGATATGTGTCTCATTTTAAGACGTTTCAAAGTGTCTTACACATTTAGCAATGCATTTTGAGACACGAAATGTGTTTCGAGTATCCGTCTCACACTAAGAAGACGTTTTACGTGTCTTATACGCATTGAGTTACCTTTAATGTCTTAAAATGAGACACGAGATGAAATTAAATGTCTCAATATAAAACAGATTATGTATCTCAATGTTTTAAACACTTAAAACAACTTATTTTGAGACACGAGTGGGATACCAGTTTTTGCAGTGTAACTGCACGGAAAGAAAAAGTCCGTCAATCATTAATAGACTAGTATATTACTTTGAGACGGGACACAAAATCATTCAATGGATAACATACTTTGAGTCACAATCAGTGACGAGTTGCTTGCTAAAATTTAGAAAACTGTCATCAATATATAAAACTCGTTCACTAAAATTTAGAAAACTGTCTATTAAATTTTCTATGACTATCAAAAGCATTCAAAAAATTCAACTTCTTTCAGAATTATCCCTAATTTTAGACACTATTTGGTACAGAATGAACACATTTTTTTCGTTGCACAGTTCCGATATTTTATTTACACTCTTAGACGCTTTAGACCAACACATTTTCCAACACATTTTCGCACTTATAATAACTACACGTAGAAACGCACACTTATAACACTTTAAGTTTAGAAGCAAACTGTTCTTATATACCAAATAACAAAATTTTTCACAACTTGTGAGAAATGATTTTGCACTAATAACTACTTTTTAATTAGCGAGAAATATAAAAGAAAATATATTTTCATCGAGGTCAATTTCTAGACGCAATTCAACTGCAAATTGTTAGTTAAGTTAAATATTCACATTACACATAATAGTATATAGGGATATGTATAGCAGACAGCAAAAACACATGGACTATAGAGAAACCGGAAGAAATGCGCATCGGTACACTGCGCAACAATGCGCTAGTGAAGAGCGCCGATTTAGAATACGAGTCAACTAACGTTTCACAAACTTTCACTAATGATTCGTAAACATTCAAACAGCCATTGATAACAATTCAGCATTAAATCTAAAACAATTGGTCACATACTGGCATTCTAATCAATCCATGACTCGTTTTCAATCGTTAAGTAAAGTTAAGTAACCATCAACGGAAAAAGAGTCCCGTCTCAAAGTAATATACTAATCCATTAATGGTTGACGGACTTTTTCTTTCCGTGTGCGAAGGGTATTTACTACTAATATCCAAAAAGAAGGATGTTTAAATTATTTTTACTGCTATACTGCGAAACTCAGCAAATAATTGTCTTGCTAAAACTGCCTTTTACTGCTGATCGAAAAATTAGAGTATTTTGAAAGTGTCCGACTGTTATTGGTATTTGCTACTAATATCAAGTGAAGCGATAGTTTAGAAGCCAACTTCACTACTAATGCCAAATATAGAAGAGTACAATTTAAAATTTATTTAAATAAATTACAGAAATTTAAGATGTTTGACTACACTCTAAATCTGAATCAGTGAAAATTTCACTGATTTCAATTCAGTGACCCAGTTTTCTTTGATGAATCAGTGGAATTTCACTGACAATCAGTGGTTTTTACTGATTCTCAGTGAAATCCCACTGATGAATTAAAGAAAACTGGGCCACTGAATTGAAATCAGTGTTTCCACTGATTCAGATTTAGAGTGTACAACTGTCATTCACCACAAATATTAGATATAACTAGAATTTACAAGTACTTGACTTCAACTACTAATATCAAACAGACAAAAATTTTGAAACTCCCTTTTACAAAATTTGTTTCTTTTCACTTAAATTGTACTATTAAACCTTAGACTTAAATTTTTTTCATCTGACTACAACTGACTATTACTACTCAGATAAAAAATGTAAAGAATCCGGATGAGTTGTCTGCACATAAATGTCTTCTACTACTACTTTTCTTCTTCTCATTACTTTCTTTTTATAAAATTTAATATTCCTGCTATTTGGAGTAATTTATTCAATCAGCAGTAGCTCATAATGAATTTTAATCTACATTCACAAAATTCAAAAATTTAATTTTTGTGCCACGCTTTTTTGTTTAATACCAAACAATAAACTTTTTGAAACTTCAATTTCTAATTGACAGGAAACTAAACTTAATATCTTATCACTTTCACTTCAACATGAAACTAAATAAAGTTTGTTACTTATAAAGTTCTCAATTGAGTCAAAACTAAATTCATTCATCATACAAAGAGTATGCAACAAGCAAAACATGATTGTTAATTAAAAATTTCATTTCATTTTCACTCCCTTTAAAATGATATATTATTGAAAATGCGGTTCATTGAGAAAAATAAAAACAATGAAAAATTGCTAAAAATGATTTTGTGTTTGCAATTTCAGGTTAGATCATTACAAAAGGCCACCGAGTAGAGACAGTTCCGTGGATCGATATGCCAGAGCTCACTCTAGGTTGACGGGGTCTAGACAAGCATCTGTTGATAAAATGGCATCTCCGCCGCCTCAGGATATTCCTGATAGGTGAAAATTATGCAATTCTATATATATATGAATGAATTCTTTTGATAATATAAAGTGCATAACTCAAAACAAATAAAGAAAACAAGGAAACTATATATCTCAACGTAAAAACTCGTGTTTTTGCAATATATTTGCACAATGCAAACTAGATATATCAGGAAGAAACTGACAAAAAAATTTAAACTACTAACAAATTCTTCAAAAATCGAAAATATAAATTAGTCAAATTTTATAATTAATAATTATAATTTTAATTTATGATTATTAATTAATCAACTAATATAACTATAATTATAATTTATAATCGTAATAATTAATCAACTATTATAAGCCTGCATTTTTTTTATTTTTGATCTCAGAGGCTAACACTTTTGAAAATTTTGAGAGAAGTGGAGGTAAAGATCCTCTAAAACACACTTTCTGGACCTTTACCCAAAATTTTTTTAACATCCTAACGCTTTAGGCAATTTTGAGACCCGAAATTGTGCTCAAGGAACAAAAATATATTGAAAACGACTACAATGTCAAAAATAAAAAAAGTATCGTTTTCTCGGGTCTTTTACCCCCACTTTTTTCAAAATCCTGTATTTTTTATCTTGCTCATATGGGTCCTTAAGTATACATTACAAGCTTTAATTTAAAATTTCGTGAAGCTCTCCAGGACGTCATGTCAAAAAGAAAACATATTTTGAAAACCCCCCTAAAACAGTTTTTTTTGGCCCTCTACCCCTATTTTTCTCAAAATTACAAAGTGCTAGGGAATTTCAAGACCCGGCATCTTGTTCAGCGGACAATAATATATTGAAAACGACTCCGATATAAAAAATAATCAAAAAATATTTATCGGTGTCTTTTACCCCCACTTTTCTCAAAATCCTGTACTTTTTTTACCTTGCTCATATAGGACTTAAAGTGTATATTTCAAGCTTTAATTTAAAACCTCATGGAAGTCTCCAACATGTTAAGTTAAACAGAAAAAAAATTTGAAAACCGCTAAAAACAAATTTTTTGGGTCTTTTACCTTAACCCCTCCGTTAATTTAACTTCTTTTAACAAAAAATTTAGTTTAACCAATAAAAATAATTTCTTTAACCAAAAAACTTGTTGAACTAGACTAAATATTTATTAAAATCAAAAAAAGATTTAAGTTAAACAAATCGTATTTTATTTTAATGTAACCTAATCTCTAAAAACTTTACTCCCAAAATTTTTTAAAATTTCTCTCTTTTAACTTTCTTATTAAGCAAACAAACTTTGTAAACGCTTTGTAAAAAATAATAAAAAATCTAGTTTATTATTTTTTTTAATATCAAAACTTGATTAATCATTATTGATTTGCAATTTTCAGTGATTCAAAGTAAAAATAGAATAAACTTGATCACAGTTTCCGTAAAACTTTTTCTTAACTATAAATTGCTTTTGAATCAAATATAAAAAAATTATTATGAAGTTGTTTTAACTTTTGATTTGACTGTCTGTCCGATTCCTCTTCAACTATTTTAAATCACGTGATCGCCTCAGTATTAATTTTCAAATATACTTTTCTAGTAAAATAATGAATCAATGTTAAAATCAATTATTTTAGAATAATTTTGTAAAAAATTGTTGAAAATTTAAAATAAACGGATATTTATTATAGGAAAATTTAATATTTATTATTATTTATTTACTATTTTATTAATTAATATAATGAATATAGCAATAATAATAACACAGTAAAAAGTAAATCTTAATTTAAGATCAGTCTTAATTTCAACACTGACTGCTATATTGTTAAATCATACAAAATCCATTGAGTAAATTCAGCATTGACTGTCTTAAAAATTTTGCCTCTTAATTTAAGACTCCCTTGCTGCCTTAAAATAAGACTTTCTTTTTACTGTGAATAATAAATATAATAGATGAAGAAGTATCGAAAATATAAGATATTAATTTCATGTGTACCTAATATACAACTAATTATAAATAAATATTAATTAAATCTTGAGTTTAATAATAAATATTAATTAATTATTAAGAAATTGAAATTAATTACAAGTAAAATAATAATTAATTAATTAAAAATATAATAATTTTTATAAGTGAAATTATTCAGTACAGTGAAAAATAACTTATTTGGTAGTAAAAAGTCATTCACTAATTCAAATTGTAATATTTTACTAATTAAATAGTTAATAATAACTAATTATTAGTTAAATTTACTTTTATGTTACGTTAAAATAACTGAAATTTTTAGTAACTAATTTTAATTAATGAAATTGGCAATTTTTGTAGTTATTTATTTACTAATAAGTAATTTTCTACTATTAATAATTTATTTTTTACTTATAATGCTGAAAAAAGTCAGCCATGATTTTACTAATAATTCGTGTTACTTTTAACTAATTCAGATTTAGAGAAAATAATTAGTTATTTTCTTAACAATTAATAATAATAATTTTCTACTAATAATTACACACTTTCTACTAATAATTAGTTACTTTCTATATCAAAAATGAGATATTTTTTTTACTAATTGCTGAAGCAAAATGTCAGCCAAGATTTTTCTCACAATTAGTACACGAAAAGAAAATAAAAACTAAATTTTGTAAAACTATTTTTTAATTTGAAGAAAAAATGCAACAAAGCAAAGTTGTGATATACTGAAAAAAAAATTTTTTTTAAATAACCGATTGTTTGTCTATTATAAAATAAATATTTACTTGAATCAAATAAATTTTATTTAAATCAATTAAATGGTATTTGATGAAATAATTTCAGTGTTTGAAGCAAATAACGTTTGACTCAAATAAAAATTATTATTTGTTGCAAGTAAATATTTAATTGGTAATAGTCAAGTAATCGATTATTTGATTCAAAGAAATTTTTTTTCAGCGCATAAAAAATACTAAACTTTAGAAAAAATTATATATGAAATTTAGTAAAGTTATATTAAAATTTAATTAATATTCTTAGCATTTGATATAACTATTCTAAAGTTCACATAAGTTTTTTTAAAGTTTAGTATTTATTATATCAAAATTTCGCTTATTGTCGCATTTTCTTCCCAAATTATAATATACTTTCACATAATACTTACACAGTAAAAAGAAAATCTTAATTTAAGATAAGTCTTAAATTCAGCAATGTCTGCTCTAATGTTAAATCATACAAAATCCATTGCTTAAATTCAGCACTATGACTGTCTTAAAAATGCTGCGTCTCAATTTAAGACTGCCTTCCTGCCTTAAAGTAAGACTTTCTTTGTACTGTGTTATTTTCTCTTCTTGTAATTATAAAATTATTTTAGATTTAGAGAAAAATTAACAATTAAAAGTAAATAATTTCGAAATTCGTGTAGGATATTTTTAGCATAAATTCCCGATAAATATACATTTTTATATATGTATACTATAAAATCGAGAGGATGAAAAAAGATTGCAGGTTATTTTTAAACTAAAAGAGGAATCGTCCCACAGGACCTAATTAAGTATTGCTCTTATTTATTTTTTTTTCTAAAATATTTTTTTCAGATCGATAAGAGGACCCAGCGTGGCCAGAGCTGGAACACCTTTAAATGGATCAGTGATAGGAAATGGAGCTGCGACACCAACAACCGGAACACAAACTTCCGGTCATTTTGAAGGAGCGATTCTCAGGAATAGAAATCTAGGACAAGATATTTTACCGAGTCCTGGACAACCTAAAAGAACAGAGAGCTTATATGTCACGCCTGCTCGAGGATCAGTACCTTCCGGCGGAAGTGGCGGTGGTGGTGGTGGTGGTGGTGGCAGTATTGGAGGAGGTGTAGCGATCAAGGTGAGTCCTGTTTATATTTTTTCTTCCATTTTTTTTATTCGCTCATATCACCTTTTACCATCACATAAACACACAAACACAGACACAATCATTGCCATAAAAAAAATTACCTCACTATATATTCTTGTATTATATCACGCGAAATCCTATATACATATAAATACAGATGTAAACCATATATCCAATAACAAAAAATTGGATCTTATTTCTGCAATTCAAAATTTTCCTGTAAATCTCGATCTGGTTTCTTCATGTTTTTGTGAAAATTAATATTTTTTTAGAAGATTTTAGAAAACGAATTTTGGAATTTCTATAAGATTTACATTAATTTTTTTCTTTGCTTTAATTTAAGTAATTTTATTATTGTACCCAGAGAAAAAAATATTTGACTCAGAGCCTACTAGATTATTTACTTGTTTCAACTAAATTTTATTCGGCTCAAGTGAATTTTATTTGGTTCAAGTAAATTTTAATTGGTTCAAGTAAATTTTAACCGGTTCAATTAAATTTTAATTGCTTCAAATAAACATTTTATTTTTGTTATGTTATGATATGTTATGATAAGCATACTTTTATTTGTCTCAAATAAATAGTATTTGGTTAAAATAAAATATTTCCCTGGGCGTAATATTTAATATATATATATATATATATATATATATATTGAGATATTACGTTGCAATTTCAGTACAAATATAAAATTATCGACAAAATAATCTCTGTTGATAATTTTATATATTAATAAGGGTATCTATATTATGAATATTGTGGCGTAAAATATGTCGAGATACAAATTTCTTTTTATTCTATATTTAAGGCAGATAAGGGGGATTAAATCGAATTTTTAAATTCAATTATATTGACAATAACAAATACTGTTAAATTATTAAACTACTAACATTATTGTGATAAATAAATGAAAATAAATAAATTACAAAATATATTAGGTACTACAAAAATTACTATTATTAAAAATATTCAATTAAATTTGCTTTTTGTTTGAGAGTAAAAAATATTAATAATTAAAAACTAGAAAGACAATATTTTTATAATTTTCTATTTCAGATTTTAATTCTAAATAGAATATTTTTATATTTCTTATATTATTTTTTTATTTAAATTAAAATTTCGTGAACATAAATAAATTGAACAGTTAGTACAAAGAAGGCATTTTTATTAAACACTACTTATCTGAATGTTTTCATTTTATTATTTTCCTACTATTTGAATATAATTAACTCGGACGTTGTAGAGATTGATTTAATATATATTGTACAGTTAGAATAACGTTAATTTTCATAAATTTTCACTCATAAAAAATTTTATTATTTTTTAATTAAAGCCAAGGAAAGAAAATTACTTTTCAATATTTTAATACATCGTAAAAATTTTTGTTAATTAGTAAAAGTTACTTTTAATGTAATTATTATTATTTAAAATTAATAAAATTTCCTGTAATATTAAATAAAAAATAATTTACAGCTAAAAACAAGTTTATAAATTATAATATAAATAATAATAAGAAACAATAAGTAAATAATTTAAAAATAAAATAAAAACTAAAAGTTTCTAAAAAATAATTCTAATGAAATTTTAAAAGGTAATTAAAAAAATGATCTAAAATTAATGCTTAATTATTCTCAAGTGTTATATAATTAAACTGAAAACATAGGGAAAAAAAGATGAAGAAAGCAGATCTTGAAAAATACATTGCCACACAAAAACCTTCTATTCGTAAAATCTATAGCTATGTGACAAACACACAAAGATAAATTTTTTAATTCAATGTTATATAGAATGAATAATATTAATTCTGTTGTGAATTTTAGAAAACACATTACTAATTAGATTTTTAGATAGACTAGAAGTTTATAAAGTAGAGCTTTTTACAGTGTGTCTTCAACACTTTTGTAAGGGTGCTCAAACTGAAGGTCGACTTAATTGCCTTCAAAATGAGAAAAAAGAGAAAGAAAAACGAGAAGAAATATTAAAAATCTCAAAATGTTTACATAACCCAGAAAAAAAAATTTAAACCAAATTCAAAAATATATCTGTCATTAAAAATAAACCTTTTTTTGAAAAAGATCTTTTTATATTTATTAATAGTTTTTTTTTTGTTGAATAATTAATTAATTAATTTTGTTAATTGAAATGAATATGGGTGTTAACAAATTATCAAAACTTGATTATACTTAAGTTTCATTTATTAAAAACTATTTTAATTAATCTTTCTCTAAGATAATTAAAAAATCACTTTTAATTTAATTGGTATTTTTTATGATTTTCTAATTTCAATTAAAAACTTTAATTACAGAGATCACAGTGATTCTTTTATGTAATAGGTAAAAAAGGGGATTCAGTTTTAAAAAAAGGGTAATATTTAAATTAATTGTATTATTATATTATAGAATATACAATTTATTTTTAAGATTTACTTATTTTTTCTACAGAAACTAATTTTTTTTCAATTTTTAATCAAACTTTTTACTAAAACACCCTATTTTTTGGTTTAAAATTCAATAAACTTTACTGTATATCTGATGAAAATTGCTGTAAAAAATTAGTAAAATTTATTTCGGATTTGATAAAATTTCCTTCTTTACCTAATAATAAAATTTAATATTAAAAATTGTTAATTCCATAATAATTTTTACTATTTATGAAGACAATTTTTATAAGAACTAGAAAAATTTACATTTATTTGTAAAATAAAAATTTTTAATAGCTAATTGTACTATGTTGGAGGAAAATTTGAATAATTTTTTAAAAAAAATTAATTTTGAAATTTATTCTGAAAATAGTAAAATTTGATGGAAATTCTATACATTTTGAGTTTTAGTTCTTAAATAGTAAAAGTCACTATATATTTTTTAACTTTTACGAAAAAATTTCCAGCCTTATAAACTCTGAGAAATAATATAAAAAGATTTTTAAGTTTCAAAACAACGAAAATTCTTCCCAAGTTTGCAAAAAGTAAAAATTTTTTTCTTCAAGTATAAATAAAAATTTTTCAAACTTACAACAAATGGCAATTTTTATAAGTTTTTCTTAAAAATGAGGGAAAAAGGGAAGAAAATATTTTATTTTAGGTGTTTTAGGGAATTTTATTAATTTAAGAGGATAGAAAAAGGGAAAAAGGAAAAAAAGGGGACTAATAGTGATCCTTGTAATTATAATTTAAATTTAATAATGTTTTAAACTGGTTTTCATATTTTATTTCTATTTTAAAATATTCATAACTTTTATTATGTAAATTTCAAATAATAATAAAGTAAAATATTTTTCATTACAAAAAATATCCTTTAACTTTATTATAAGGTTTATTTTATATTTTTTAAGAAAACTGGTGTGAATATTTTATTAATACATGTAACAATTGAAGTTGGATGGTTCCATATGCTCTTAAGAAATAAAATATTACATTTATTATCCGAATATTAATTAAAAGTAGTTTTTATATTCAAGTTATAAAAAAAATTTGTAGAAATTTAAAAAAAATACAAATATTTTTTTCACTAATTTTTTATTTCTATAATTTAAATAATTATTTACTTGTCTATTATCGTAAATAAACATTTACTTTCATGAAATAATTATTATTTAAGCCAACCAACTTCAGTAATTATTGCCTTTAAAATAGAAAAATACAGAAACAAAATCCAAATAAAAATTATATGTTCTGGAGGTAAATGTTTATTTGATAATAATTACAAAACTGTTTATTTGAAAACAACTTTTTTCTCAATTATGTTTATTTATTACATCGTTTTTTTCACTTATTTGTTACTAAGTTTTCTTCAATTATTTATTACTGAGTTTTTTCAATTATTAATTAGTTTTCTTCAAGTATAATTATTGGTAATTGTATTTATTTACATTATTTAAATAATAATAATACATTATATTTAAAATAACCGACCCCAGTTTGTGCACCCTCAAGATAGATTCTTCTTTTTCAATCTATAGAAATAGAAACCAGTGTTTAATTAAAAATATCAACTTTCATTTTTTTCGTAGTTTTCGAGTCAGATTAAAATAAATAAGTATATAACTGCAGCAAACAAAAACTAAATAAAAAATTTTTCTATTTTTATCTCAATGCCTTATTGCATAAGACTGAATGAAGAAAAAAATTCCAGCTCACATAAAAACCATGTATCCACTTCCTAAAAATCCACTTTTTATCTAATCTGTATACCACCACCAATTGTTTCTTTTTTTTTTACTTTTTTTTAAAATAAATCCATCTGTTAAAAAACAATTTTTTCTCTAACTTTCTGTAATTGTGTGGCGTTTTTGTGCTGTGTTCTGTGCATGCCAACCCAGGACGCAAGCCGGACGGTCCCCGCCTTCGCCGCAACAGCAAAGGGCCGCGCAACCCTATAAAGTATAAGTATCACAAAAAAAGCAAAAATACATCGATAATGTGAATCGCCGAGCTTACTTATGAGCGATTCAAGCCTTAAAGAAAGGTCGCATCCTCTCTTTCTCTCTCTAAAAAAAAAAAAAAAACTTTCTTGTCCTGTTAACAAATAATGCTCGCTGTTGTTATTGTTGCACCGTTCATTTTTTAAGGGATATTTCGCACACAAAATCTCTATTCACACTCAAATGGTCGGGAGAAAAAATTCTTTAGAAAAAAATATGTCCAGTTGATTCACATATTTTCAGTAACAAACAGGGAGATATTTTCTATATTAAAATAAATATGCAACATTCGTTTAATTATTAGTAATACACGAGACATCCGTCCTTAATAAATTTATCATGTGTAATAATAATAATAAAAATAGTATAATTAAGTACATAAACATTTTTTAGTGTATATTAAATTATTAATTAGTAGAAAATGTAGATTCAATCTTAGCGTGCGATTTGAAATGATGAAATGAAACAATTATAAATTACTAATGATTAATTATTAACTATTAACTATTAATAATTAATAAAAGAAACAAGAAAAAATCGCCAAGAAACCAGTGAATCAACCCGGCATATCTTCTTTTCACTAATTTTTTGAACCATGACGTTTTATAGGTGGAGATATTTAACTGCTGATACGCAATCTGATGAGTATTTAAAAAAAAACATCTTCCTTTAATTAAGCCTAGTGCATTTTTTTTCTCGCGCACAAATACTTTTTGTCGAGCGATAAATCCTCTCGGTAAGTAATTATTTTTCTATACAAAAAAAAAATATATTCTCAAAAACAAAAAATCTTTTTTAGAATCAATGGGGAGTTATCGCTCGCCTAAAAAATGCTTTCAATATAAAATGATGCATTAATAAAAAATGCATCAACATATAAAATTGATGCAAGAAACCGAAACTGCTTTGTACGAAACTAAATTGTTCTTTTTCATCAATATATTATAACGAATATGATCAATGTTATTATATCGAATTTCAATGTTATCGGAGGAAAATTAGGACTGTATGATAAGCACGATTCTAAATGATATGATTCAAATGCTATCTATTAAGGATTCGTGCCTCCAGCGATCATGAAATGATTTGAGTATTAAGATCCATATATAGGTATATATGTGATAGTTAAATTGATCCTATATAATATGGTGAGGAATAACGGATGAGACCATATATATGATAATATATTATAATAATAAAATGCTCCAAGAAACTAATTAAGATTCAAGAAATTTCTCTAATTTGAAATTAGAACACGTTTCAAATTCGCATTATAATGGTTCGTTTCGAAATTAGAATTTTCGTTTTCAAAAATATATTCAAGGAAAATCATATTTTATTTTGAAAACAAAAATTAATTGATTAATCATAAATTGTTTTATATTATTTCTATGTTTTACTTCTTTCGGTATTATATTCTAGAGAGATGGAATTTATTCAATGTAGAATTTCAGTGCTATTTTAATATTTTCATATTTTGCAGAAAATAAATATTTCGATAGGTATTTACGTATTTCAGTATTTAAATATTTTATTATTTTAATATTTTAATATTTACGTAGGTATTTCAATATTTAAGTACATATATTAATATTTCAATATTAAAATTAATGTTTCAATAATAATGAAATATCTACAGAGTTTAATATTTAATTGATATTCAAATATCTAAATATTTTAATACTTCAATACTTAAAAATTTGAAAATTTCAATATTTGAAAATTTAAACATTTACATATTTTAATATTTGGATAGTTTGATATTACAATATTTACATATTTTAGTACATAAATATATTTTCAACTCAAGTAAAATAATTCTTTTAATAATTAAAAATTACGTGTAGGAGTTATTAATTTTTTTCTTCTTTGAGAGCATTGTACGGTTCCTTATATAAAGAAAAGTAACAGATGCCATCCAATTTATTTTTCTCGACAAGTCATTAATGATATTTTTCAAGTTCTGAACGTTTTAATTGAAATGAAATTTTTTCCTCAAAATTGAAAAGAATTATCTTCTTATTGCAAACCAGTCAATAATAAAAATTTATAATTACACAATTTCTCTTTTAGTTTAGAAAAAAATTTAAAAATTCAATATTTTGACATTTATTAGTATTTTATCAGGATGTTTTTTAATTATTTGACAAAGCAAAATATTTACAGTAAAAATGTTAAATTCGAAATATTTTAATTATAATGTAAAGTAAAATTTTCCTCAAGTTTTGAAGTTTACTAAAATGAACGAAATATTTTTTTCTTGTTCAAGTATTTTGTAAAAATTTGTATACCAGGGGTCACAGTTTGTCCTTTTTTTCTATCTATCCCTTTTCCCCTTTTGTATCCTCTTAAATTAATAAAATCCTCTAAAACATCTAAATTCAAATATTTTCTCCCCTTTTTCCCCTATTTTTAAGAAAAACTTCTAAAAATTGCCATTTGTTGTGAGTTTGAAAAATTTTTAGTTATGCTTGAAGAACAAAATTTTTAATTTTTGTAAACTTTGGAAAAATTTTCGTTTTTTGGAACATAAAAATCTTTTTATATTGTTTCTCAGACTTTATGAGGTAGTTATATTTTAGAGTAAATTTTACTAATTTTTATAAAAAATTCAGGGCTCGAACCAGTGAAAGTATTTAAAAATACGGACTTTACGGACCAAAAATGAAAAATTACGGACCATTTACGGACCAATTACTGGCAAAAATATATAAGAGAACATTTTACTTAAAACTATAAATTAGATTTTTTCATAACTAAAAAACATGAAGATATCGATAACTCCGAGTCTTCGACTCGGAGCGATCGATTACTTCATGTTTTATAATAAATTAAAGATAGAGTGATAAAATCATTATCAATTCAATTATTATTTTCAAGAATTTTTAACTAAAATTCTTCTTAAAATCGATTATTTTTAATAATTTTCGAAAAAGTTTTTTGACAATTTTCAAATCCATTTCTTTACAATATTCAATTTTACGAAATTTCAATTATTTGTAAATTCTTCAATTAAATATGTATTAGAAAATAAAAACTTCAAATAATATAAAAAAAAATTCGCAGTTAAAATTTCTCAAAAAAATTAATTCCACAGAATTGTTACTTAGTTAAAAATATGAAAAATTCAAATTTTCAAAGATTTGAATCTGAAACCTTTTCAAAATTTAATTATTTCTAAAACTTTACGCTCTAATACTTTTAATATTCAATTATAATCTAAAATCTTAACTGAAATCCATTTTTAAATCAATTTTTATGAGAAAATTCTACGAGAATCTCATTATTTAAATACAAAAAAAAACAATTTATTGAATAATTACATATGAATTATTACATTGAATTCTTTTAAAAAATTGTATCAAAATATTTGAATTCCCAATAAGAATTTTATTATTTGCCAAAAAAATTAAATACCTGTAAAAATTTTATTATTTATGAAAATAATTGAATATTGCGAAGAAATTTATAAAAAAATTTGTAAATAATGAATTTCCTGTAAAATTTTTAAGATTTTTTGAAAATAATTAAAAGTTTGTGTAGAATTTTATTAATTTTTTTTAAATAATTGAATTCTTTTGGAAAATTTTAATAGAATAGTATAGATACCTATTAAAAATCATTGAATTGAGGAAAAATGTTGAAAATAATTGAAATTTTTCCAAGAATTTTATTAAAATTTTTGAAAATAATTGATATTTTGGAGAAGAATTTAATTACTTCTAAAGATAATTGAAATTTTGACGAGAATTTTTAAACAATTTTGAACATAATTGAATTTTTGCGAAGAATTTTATTACTTTTGAAAATAATTGAATTCCTTCAATCATTTGTAATTTCTCTAAAATTATCCAAATTATATCGTATAATTTACGTACTTTACGGACCTTTTTCAATCAAATTACGGACTTTACGGACCTTTTTTCAAAAAACGGACTTTTACGGACTTCAAGCAAAGTTACGGACTTTTACGGGATTTACGGACCTAGTTCGAGCCCTGAAAATTGTCTTTAATAATAGTAAGTTATTCTGAAAACAACAATTTTTAATATTAAATTTTATTATTTTTGAAGAAAATTTTACTAATTTTTTACTGCAATTTACTTCAGATACAGTAAAATTCAGGAAATTTTGAAACAAAAATAGGGTTTTAATAAAAAAAACCTGATTAAAAATTTGAAAAAATTGCAGTCTGCGTAAAAAGATAAGAAAATATCAATTTTTGTATGAAAAAATTTAACAAAAAAATCTGATTTAAAAAGCTAATTCATTGAAATCTCCTCTTTACCCTAATATGACATGAAAAAATCACTGTAATCTGCTATACTAAAAATAATTAAATTAAATATTTACTTAGTTAAAAATTAATTTTTTTTAATATAAAAAGCAATATTTTACAATAAAGAAATTAAAGAAATATTTCTTTCTTCTATCTTTCTTAATCTCTTAATTAATTCAATTATTATTTAATTAATAAATTAAAAGAAAAGATTTTTCTAAAGTTTTGAACGTAAAATGAACGAATTATTTCTTAAATACTTTCAAAAAATACTTTTTTGTGACAAAAAAATTAAATTAAATTGTTATAAATCATAATTATTCCAAATAAAAATTAAAAGAAGTGATACAGAAACATCGTCGTTAATTTAGACGCATTTAAAACTTTAGAAAAATGAAAAAAAAAAAATAAATATATAAAATTCAGAGAAATAAAGAAAAATAATATAATAAAAGTAAAGAAGATTGTAGAAAAATCAAGAAGAAAGTAGGAAAGTAAAGAAACGTAAAAACAAACTACAGTAAAGAAGTAATAAAAGAGAGAAATAAAAAGCATAGTAAAATAAATTTGTAGGAAAATAATAAATCGAATACTAGTAAAATTAGAAAAAGTAAAAAAAATAAATAAAATAGGTAATTATAATTCGAATTTTTTTTTAAATTTAAAAAATATTTAATAAATAAAACAAATTAACAAAATTTCTATTAATGTTCAAAACTTGACCAACATTCATTAATGAACTTCAATCTATATACATTAATAATAAAAAAAGTTAACTGCAAATTGATATATGCGCATTTACACGAATGTATAAAAGTCTCACCATGAGAGACAAGGTAACGTTAAAAAATCGCACATAAGTTTCTAGAATTGCGCATGTAAAAAAAAACACAGAAATAAGTGAAGAAAAGTACGTTAGTGCACTACTTGTACTTGTGTATGATCTGCGTACTACTCTTATATAGTATAATTACATGCAAAAAGAAAAAAAGAAAAAAAAAGAGTGAATGTTCGATGAATCTCGTTCGATATATATAAACACACACACAGAAAATAGAGAAAAAGTGAACGGTAAATTTGTGTGCGGTGTGGAGGCGGGGACCAGTTTTTTTAAATCTTCTACTTTTTTTATATATACCCTTATATATATACACACTCCTCTTTTCCGACCTATTCCCCAGATATATTTGACCTTCTCCCCTTATTTTAGAGCTTTTAATCCAGATATTAATCTTTTTGGTAGAATAATTCAAAACCGGTAAACATTACTTATATTAATAATTTAATGTATTAATGTATTAATTTAGATAAAAATTATCATACATGTTAAAAAAAATTAGAAGAAGAAAAATAGAAAAAATTAGACAGTAATATTATGTTGTATTGTTAGATTGTCTTAAACGATAAATTTTTTTCCCCTTTTTTTTAATGACCAAATGCAAATGATCCTTGTGCTTTCGAATAAAAACCGCGTCTTCCACCTCCACACCGCTTTCCTGTTTGTCAGAGATTACATTATTTTTCTAACGCATGATCCTACAAATTAACGCTATTATATATATTGTATAGTCTTTACATTTAACCTTGTTGATTCCCCAGGCTCGGATTAAACATATTTATTTTTTCTTTATATACATACATATATATGTAATATAATTGTCCACATATGTCATGTTTGCATATTTGTGAATGTCTATTTAATTATGTCAAAAAATTAAAAACAGAAAAAAATACTGAAAATTTGTTGAAATTTTTAACAAAGAAAAGGGTTAAAAAGTGAAAAAAAAAATTACAAAGAGAAAAATTTTTAAATGAAGAAAACGATTCAATATTTTACACTTAGTGATTAATTACCATTAAATTAAAATCATAATTTTTGTAATTCAATTTTTATTCAAATTATCAAGTAACTAAAATTCCCAAATAAAATTAATCGGGAATTTTTCTTTTCGACAATAAACAGTTTGAAATGAACTGTTTAAATAAATAAACAAATAATTTCATATCAAATAAGTTACTTAATTAAATAACTTTTTTTAATTCTCAAAATATTTTAAACACATTTTTGAAATGTTTTAAACGTATTTTTAAAATGTATTTAAGCATATTTTAAAAATATTCTCCAAATATTTTTCAAATATTGTCAAAAATCATTTCTATATGCAAAAATTATTTATCAAATAAATCGTTTCTATAATAAAAAAAATCCTTTTCAATTTGAAATAATTTCTAAATACAAACATCGTTTAAAATAAACGATAAAAACCAAATGAAAAAGAAGTACTTAAATTTATCGAAAGTGATTTTTTGCCAATGTTTCTTAAAGAAAAAAATAAAGAGAAATCTCTCTAAAATAGTTTTTTAAGATTTATAAATTTTTAACTGTTTTCAAAATCGACTGTAATTTAACTCACCGGTTTGCGAGACGAGCAAATGATATTCATGTTCGTGCCTTTATGAATGAAGGATAGATATATACCTAAAACATAAAGAAAAAAAAGTTAATGAAAATAAAGAATAAAAATTTAAAAAGGAAAATAAATAATAAATAGAAAAGAAAATTAAAAATTAAAAAAAAAATACTGAAGAACAAAGAAAAATGCGTTGGGTATAATTAATCCGCGCCTGAGCACTTAACACCTATATTTTCAAGCACAATAATTATTTCAAATTGACTTTATAAATAAAACAACAGGGCATCAAATCATTATCAGTTTCACAAATCTTATTACACAAAAATTCCTCTATTAAATGATAAAATACATGCCATTAAGAGTACATAATTATTATTATGTAGAACTACTAATTATGTAAACTATACTTTAATAAGATCGTTTCTATTATATTAATAATTCACTCCTAATTAATAATACTAGAAGTGATTCAAAAATTTAAAAAAAGGTGAATTTAGAGTGAAAAGTGTAAAAAATATTTTCTCACGTGATGAGAGTGTAAGAATACTTTCTCATGTGATGAGAATGTAAGAATACTTTCTCATCTGATGTGAATGTAAAAAAAAATATTGTCTAAAGAGGAAATTTTGATTCGATGTCCTGCTAATGGTGTCTTACATTCTATACATTATACTCAAATAAGTGCATATATATATAGTATAAACATTAAATATACATAAATATATTTTATGTACAGCTTTATTCATGTTGCGCCTTTGTAATAGGTACCTTTAACTATTGGAAAATTGTGAGAAATTATATATTGTAAAATATATATATATATATATATATATATATATATACTGCATAACAATACAATATATAAAATGTTTACATGTAAAACACTAACAAAAAAAATCTACAGGGACATTTATCGGATTTATTAAACCATCGATAACAACTATGCCTCAAAGAAAAATAATATGTTATTCTACGTTGTTATAATATAACAATAGCAACGTGCGTTTTAAGTACCTACTTGTGCAATAATAGCACAAAAGCTTACCAAAGTGGAAAAATTTATTGTCAAGCACAAGGCTATCGATTGACTTAATATTGGACCAATTTTTTTATGCGGACAATATTGACCCATTTTTTTGGACAAGTGTTGAAATAAATGCAATGCCTCGAATTTGAATATTCGTAAAATGTTACTTCAAGATTTTAGTAACAAATTTAAAGCAAAAATTTATTTATTAATTACGAAATTACAAAACAGATAACAATTATTATTACCATTATAAAATAATTACGTATTACAATTGTTATTATTATTCTTAGTATTCTTATTATAACTATTATTATTTATTTATTTATTTATTTATTATTATTATATAATTATATAATATTAATAAAATAATATATGTGTCGCGCTCCCAAGAAAGGAACCTAAAAAGCAAACGAATCATAGGTTATGTTTGTGTTAGATTTATCTTCATTAAAACTTCCTTTTTGATAATGTAAATTTAAAACCAGTTTTTATTTAATATTTCGGATGTAATGAAGACTTGAACATCAATAATATTTAATAGTAATTGATCCTCCTTCTGTATTTTTACTCAAAAAATTATAAACATAACCTAAAATTTGTTGCTTCTTAAGTATCTTTCTTCGGAGCGGGTCACATATAAATATTTAATTCAACAATCAATAAATAATAATTATAATTATTATGTTGATATTATTATAAAAAATACAAATGGTTTAATATGTAATTTCAAATAAACCCACAATAATATTAAAAGTTTTAAACTTATAAGCAATATTGGCAACATTGCTATAATATTCTAATCTTGCAGAAATTTCGAAGGAATGCTACCAATATTTCTATAAGTTTATAATAATTAACAAATTAATTAAATTACTGTTGATATGCAATAATTCGCTTTATTATTAATTAAATTAATAAATTAAATTAATTTCACTTCAGTGTTATTATCAAGCAAAAAGTCAGTCACTTATTCAAATTAGTAAAAATTATTTTTACTAATTCAAATTTGGAGAGATTATTTTATTTAAAGTAAATTGAGAAATTAACTAATTACAATTATTATAATAATTATACTAAATCAACAGCATTGTTGATAGCAATACTAATAATAAAAATTATTTTATCACTAAAAAAAAAATTGATAAAAAATGTTTTATTAACAGTAAAATTAATATTAAAAATATTTTACTCTTCATTCGAAAATGGTTCAACATGAGTCCAATCTTATGTCAATCAAATTTTCACCACTTGGTAGGGAATCTGAAACTACTGAAAAACCTCATCTTCCAAATAGAAAATTTAATTTAATGAAAATAATAATTTACCAGAAATATTAGTGTAGTATTTGCAAAAAACCAATCTTAATTTTCTAGTCTAGAGTTAATTCTTTCTACAAAAAGTAGTGTACATATGTTTAACTTTAAAAAAAATTTGAGTTGAGTTACGTTATAAACGAAAAATACTAAAATAATTATGAAAAAAAAACTGTTTCCGGTGTGCACTACTCTAACTAAACTATATAATAGATATTCTTAAACGAATAAACATATTTAGGATCATCATATTACAATTCACTGAACAAATTCTTATAACTAATGTTCGTAACGTGTTGTTTAAAACAAAATTTTTTTAAAATACAAAACATTAAGCACAAAAAAGTATACTAGTTTTAAACTGTTCCAAAGTAAAATTGTTTCTATATCCTTAGTTTATTGCATGTTCTTGAGAAAAAGTTCTACTAAAATCAAAGTCTAGGACTGAAAGTTTTGCGATATTTAATTTTAGTATAAAAATGTTATAAAATAAAAGTAAACTATATAAAAAACTAAAGTAGCTAATTTAGCCATCCATGAAATTTATTCTAAAAATTAAAAAAAAAAAAAAACTTGAGTCCATTATTTTAAAAACAAAAAAAAATATCGATTAAGTGAAATAAAATAATTATGTTATTTTTTATTTTGTATGTTGTAAATATATTTTAAATTAAAAATTTTTATAAATGCGTGTGTTTTTGCCAATTTTTGAAATCAGTTTTAAGATATTTAAAAAGTTTTTGAATGTTGAAATTTGGACATGTGATAATGTCTCTTTATTTATAAACAAAAAAAAACTATATAAGAAATTAAAAATGGAAATTATAAAAAAAACGAACACGTGTGATGCATAATCGCCTTAATTCAATGGGTGTCTATTGCTTTTATACTGAGCGAAAGAACGCAAATTTGGAACTTTTGCAAAGAGAGAAAGCTTTATAACAGTATTGTACATATATATTAATATGTAAATTTTTTCAAATAGGTCCGAATGGAAAGTACTTAAAAAGTCCTTTTAATACAAATAAAAATTGCGTTTCTTTTAAAACAATGAATAATTATCTTATATTAATAACAATAAATTTAATTTCAAACAATCGACAATCTCTCTATATATGGAAAAAATGAATAAAGTAAATTTTACTATACTTTCACTGTAAAACTTAGTGTCTCAACTTTCTGAGCTATTTTTACTATTTCCAGAAATCAATAAATTTTCCTGTTTTTGAAGTAAATATTTCAACGTAAAATTTGGTTAAATTTACTTCGGAAATAGGAAAAATTATGAAAATAGTAAAAATTAAAAATTAATTTGTACTCTCTAAATTCGAATTAGTGAAAAGTCGTCTGATTCAAATTGATTAAAATTTTCACTAGTTTTTAGTTAAATTGTTTACTAAACTTTTAGTGGAAAGATACTAAGAATTAGTAGAAATTTTTACTACTTTAATTTAGTGGACAATTTTTCACTAATTCAGATTTAGAGAGTAGATACTAAAAGTTACTTAAATATTAGCAATTTTTGTTCGACTACAAAGTCTGGTATTATTTTCTAACTAAATGGAAAACGAGGGAATCAATAAAAGAAAGTCGAGCAATATGTAATTGTACAAAGAAAACAAAATAAAGAAAAGCGGCGCACAAAATAATTAATTGACTTTTCACGTAAATCCGTCAAAAAGTTTTTATGCATCTCTTATAACAGTTTCATAAAATAACAGTACAAGAGATAATTAATTAAATATTCCACATACATATTCAAGAAAACTATAATTCCCTTTGAAAAATTTTACCAAAAACATTTTCTTGAATTATTTACTATATTAAAAAAAACGCCCATGTGATTATGCGAAAAAGTACGATAAAGTGCCAAGTTTCTCCCAAAAATGAAATGTCTTTCTTCGCGTTTTAAATGAAACATAAAAAATAAAAACAATTTAACAAACAATATACATATACCTGAAAATTTTATTTTATTTTCTACTGAAGAAAAGGAAATTAACTTTTATTATTCAATTACAGAACAATATTCTAATAAGAATTATTTCCATTATTTTATAATTAATAATATAGTCAAAATGGATAGATTCGTAAAATTTAAAAAAAAATAGAAAAAATAATAAGTAAAAAGAAAATAGGAGGCTTTAATCTCGTTGATATAAATATAGAATTAATTTTTCTCTCCGATGGAAATATTTTTAATGAAAAGCAGTCTTAAAGAATTTTGTAGAGCTCTTTTAAAAACTGTTAACTATACAAAATGTTATTCACAAGTAAATCTTTAAAAATAGCAAATAATTCCAAGAGTTAACTCTTGGAAAAAATCTTAATAAAATTTTATTAAGCAAATTAAAAACTAATCTTCATTCCACAAAAGAGTGCAACACTTTTTTATTTTCTGAAAATGGATCTTTTATATGTGAAAAAAATTCCAGTGGTATTGAAAATATATTGCACTGACAGAGTAATAATTATTATTATTTTAATTATTAATTATAATAATTATTGCAATTACTACAATTATTATCAATTTCCTAACTAAATTCATTTTCCAAAAAAAAAGAAAAACTGTTAGAAGGAAAACTGATTATTAATTTATTTTTTCGATTATAATTTGTTGTCACATGAACATTATTATGATTAAACATTAAACGAGACTCATCATTTTCAGTAAATGATATTTTCCTACAATCGTAATATGTGTGATGATGAACAACCTTCA